CTCTCCTCTCCTCCTCTTTGATCTCAGTTGCAATGCTGAGTGAGCTATGCGCGAGAGTCCGCGGCGCCGAACAGGCTCAACGAGCCCAAGGACGGGCGGAGTGACGACGTGGGGTGGACCCCGCGGTAGTCTCGGGGCGAACAAGTCGCAGGGACTGAGCAATGGTGGGGATTGGATGCCGACCGCGGTAGGGCCTTGTGGCTATGGTGGTCGGTGGTCTTGGGAAGTTTTGAAGGCTGCGCTTGGGGGCAGCAGTTAATTGAAATTTTTGTGTACAAGAAGGACTCGCTTTTATCTCCATTGCTGCTTTGTCTATGCATGTCGTGTGTGTGAAGCCCCGAGTGATGGGAGCTGGTTATGCGCATGAGTGACGTCGAAGGTCCATGGATGATTAGATGTCCTATCAAGGGTTGTTGATTGCATCCATGTATGTGTGTATGTACTCGTCCGGGCGGGGATGGGGAAACTGAACTGGGGGACTGTCTGCTTAAGAGTATGAGTGTGTTGATCCGATTGTTCCCCTCCCCTCCGCGGCCTTTCCTGCGCTCTCGCGCGGTCGTGGCATCGCCTCTCTCTCTCTCTCTCTCTCTCTCTCTCTCTCTCTCTCTCTCTCTCTCTCTCTCTCTCTCTCTCTCTCCCTTTTCGATCGCCTTCCTTTTGAACTAACAGTCATCGCCTTTAGAGCCTCTCGTCCCCGTACCGGTGACGTCAACCGCCTGCGTCCGCGCGGACGGTCGAMGCCCCCGCCAAGGGGAGAAAGCTTAGATTTCGTCATCCTCCCCCTACGCACCCACTTTTGAGAGAGAAGCGTTGCGACGATTGTTGTATGGATTCGGTGTTGGTTCGGATGACCGGGAACGCGCGATCTTGCCCGTGTTCATCACGTACCTCCAATCGTCTTATTTCGCTACCGACCTTCCCCATCACAGATGACGACAGCGTCTACTGCGATGCGGACGTACGGCGCGCGYTGAGGCGGACGGAGCAAGTGTGTTGGCAAGACCCGCCTCGGGCTTGTGAGATAAGGGGGAACGGGTTTGTGTTGATTGATCGATTTGATTCCCCGACTCTAATATTGCCTTATACGGGTTTAACGGTGTTGCCCTGGTTGGCCGCTCACGCCGCGTGGCGACCGCAGTTTGATTGTCGCTGGTGTCGCCAGGGGGACTCGTGTTCGTGGCGACGGCTGGTCCTGGGTTACGAGGGAGCGACACRTTTCCCCGAGCTTTCCCGTAGTGSGGGGGCGCTGCCCRCGCAATTTCGAATTCAGATGCCGGCGAGTCCTCCCGCYGCTTTACCCTCCCGTAAACTTTCGCGCGGGCTCTATGAGTYYGACRCCGAGGCTTRAAGGCCTCGAACCAACCACCTCTACAGCRAAAGACYCGAGGGTTCGGCCACTTCGTGAGGCCGATGACGAGGCCTGAAGGCTTCGAACCCACCACCTATCCCCGGAACCCATGACGGCCGAAATTTTTGCCGTCTGCGGCCATGGCCTCCTCCCCTTGATGCCTATTCSCGYCCCGATGCACGRCGRCAATTCATTTTCACARAAACYCTTCTGATTTTATCGTTKCGGAGTAATYCGASCCCCGCRSGACTTCGCGACGACAGTTCGACTCCGAGAAAAACCTCGGCCAAGAAACGAGAGCCTCCCGTTCCGTCCGGGAGACTCAACCCTTACGGGCAAAAATCCTCGGCCACGCCCCTCCTAGAACTCTGATCGGCGACCCCGTACGGGAAGCCGCGAGGGGGCGTGAGGTTGGTATCAGAGCTGATTCGTTTCGGCTCCGGGGTTTTCCTAGGACGATTACCCTATTTTAAAGTTCTTCTTTTCCTTTTGATCCTTTTATTAGATTTTTCGCATTTTTTAGTAGGCTGGCTCCCCGTCGACGGAGGCCCGCGAATAGCAATCAGAACCGAGCGAGAGGCCGAGCTCGAAAGCCGCCTCCCGCGATGGTGGAACCCGGAATTGGGGGTGAAAACGACGGTGACAACCACGCAGGGATGGCCAATCATCCCCTGTACTTTGTACCTCCTCCTTCCGAAGTTCCCATTTTCTCTGAAGATGACACCGACCCTCATACCTGGCTAGCGGCCTTGAAAGCCCAGGGCTGGTCGGATCAGTTGCTCAGAGAGCGAATACCCGGAAGGTTAGCCGGAACCGCTTTTGAGTGGTATGGAAATAACCCCTTTACTAATTGGGTAGCTTTCCAGAGGAAATTTCAATATAGATTTGATCACATCACACTGGGTAAATGCCTCCGTTTAATAAAGGAATACACGCAGCAGCCTCGGGAGACCTTGGCCAGATATGCTGAATGTTTTACGTACTTAGCCGAACGCTCCGGGGTGGATGAGAAAATGGTACGGACTGATTTCGTCAGAGGACTATTAGATTCTCGTCTGTGGAAAAAGATCCGCAAGAAATGCAACCCTAAAGAACATACGCTGACGGAGCTAATTCAGTACGCAATTAAGTACGGGAAAGAAAATTACGATGTGGGCCTGGACTCAGAATCCGACGAAGATGACCCTTCGGGTGCTCGACGCAATAGCTACTCCGCTACGGCACGAATGTTCGAAGATCACTTCGGGTTGGGTGCGACAAAAAAAGGCTCGGATCGGAAAGCTTCTTCCTCTGCTTCGGCCCCCCGTCGCTCTAGTCAAACGCAAGGAGGCCGGGGCGAGGAAGAAGTATCCATGAAAGAAGTCACGGCCCAACTAGTTACGGTAGTAGCCCCGTTGACGGAGTTTGTTCAAAGTCTACAACGGCAACGCATAGCCGCCGCACAACGGCAACAGACGGCTATGGCTGTCGGAGCCCCTATGATAAGACCGGCCGTGGCCGGGCTGTCCCACCTCTACGTTGTTATAACTGTAATCAGCCAGGCCACCTTGCGAAAGATTGTCCGAAACCCCGAACTCAGGGCGGGCCTTCTCCCACCGCTGCAGGACAGGGAAGGGTAGCCACGGTAATGGACACAGGAACGACGGAGATGGTGACCCCGGCGGCCACTGAGATAGGACCCGATGAGTATATGGCGGCAGCGATGTTCGAACCCGGGACCATCGGAGTGATACGTCACGTCCAATGGATTACCGAGGAAAGCGACCTCAGGTCGTGGCGACCAGGATTCAAGGATCTTGCGGTACCTGGTCCTGAATACAAGGATGACCATTTCGACGTTTTGGATGCCTTGAAGGCTCTGGATCTTCGGATCCCCGTCCCTATTCCATATCTGCTAACCATTTCCGAAGCGGCTAATGAAAAGTTGATCGAACGGTGCCTCAAAAACAGGCGTCGATTCGAGGAAAGTCGAAAGGGCAAAAAGTCGGTCCTACGGGATCCACCCCCCAACGAGGAGTCACAGCCCTCGACCTCAGAGGTGCACGAAGCCAACCAGATAGGGATGATCCAGACCGTAGATTCCGCCTCGAAAAAACCCGCGGTATTCCTCCGGGCCTATCCTATAACCTGGAAAAGCGTAGAGTGTGACTGTGAGGTCTGGGGAAACCCCTCGGCCGCCATCCTAGACTCGGGATCATCGGCGGTCGCCATTTCTTGGAGATTGACGAAACAGTTGGGAAGGGAAGGACAGGTTCAGCCCCTCTGACCGGATGAACTGTATATATCTGCTACGGAAGATAGTATTCATTGTAAAGGGCGAATAACGAATGTGCCTATACGGGTGGGGCGGGTGCATTGTTTGTGTGACGTGATCGTGCTGGATGTACAGGCGTATGATGTTCTGCTAGGCATTCCGTGGCAGGCGGCGGTCGGAGCGCGAATGCACTTTGACAGCTGTAAGGTGGTGCTCACATCGGCCCACCCCAAACCCCAAACGATACCAATGAGACTCGCGGTGCGCATGCGCACCCAGCCGGCGCCTCGCCTCACCACGAAAGCCCATCAAATCAACATGATCCGACGCCTGTCACCAGACGAAAATAAACCCTCGACGAAAACTGACAAGACTGATGTACCCGACCGATATCCGATCCGAGTTCAGGATCGGTGGCGCCACTCTTGGCGGCGAGAACCACTGGAAATAGTTCGGAGCGAGTCCAATTGGTCGCATGCGTTCTCCTCCGTGGTGCAAGGGGAACCCCTGCTGAGGGTGTCCCGAATAGCTGACCTTTCGGAACCCCCTGCGTCCTTGTATCTCAGGATGGACTTCCTACCTGAAAGATTTACCGAGCTGAGGGGCCTGTGCGATTTATCTTTTCGACCTCCACGGCCCCTACTCACGAATGAAAAAGCCGCGATACTCCTTAAAGAAGGGGTGTCATTTCAACCTCGAACGAGGGAGTATCGGTGGGGACCGAGGGAACTAGCGCAGGCCTTTTCGGTCGAACCCTCGGCCGAACCCGAACTGGACAGTGACAGCGACATGGAAAGCGAGCCGATGAGTCCGGCGGACAGCCAGCTTATTGCGACGGTCCTTTCGGCGAAAACCGACAACTCTTTGTTTGGGGCCTCGCCCGATGCCAACGCGGCGGTCCCCACGGTTACGACGACGGTCTCGTTTCCTGGGGGAACCGTAGAAGTTCAGTTACCAGCCCGTGTTCCGGACGAATACAAACGCCTCCTCTTGGCGGTTATACGGGCCTATCCTGAGGCCGTCAGTATTCAGGACCACGATATAGGGCTAACCCCTTTGATACAACACGCGATTGACACCGGGGATCACGCCCCGATACATTGCCGACCATACCGATATTCCCTTAAAGAAAGGCAGCTGGCGTTGGAAAGGGTACGGGAATTCGAGCGGTTGGGGTGGGTCGAACCATCGCTGGGACCATGGTCTTTTCCCGTGGTCCTCGTGCCAAAATGAAATGGCTCGGTTCGGGTATGTATCGACTACCAGGAATTGAACGCCATCACTACCAAAGATTTGTATCCCTTGCCGCGAATCGATGATTTGTTAGAAGCTATCGGGGCCGCTCGAGTCTTTTCCAAGTTCGATATCCGACACGGTTTTCACCACGTCGCAGTCCGACCGGAGGACCGACCCAAAACCGCCTTTGCCCTGTTTGAGGGCACGTGGCAATTGGTTCGGTGTCCCATGGGAATTTGTAATGCCCCTGCAACGTTTCAGCGGGCCATGAATATGACCTTCGCTGAGTTCGTTAACAAAACCCGACTGACCCAGCCCCTGATCAATTTCTGCGTGATTGTGTACATGGATGATATTCTGGTCTTTTCAAAAACCAACGAGTATCACGTGGAACACATTGAGTGGGTTTTGCATGCACTGAAAGATGCGGGGTTCAAAGTGGCCTTGGAGAAAAGCGAGTTCTTCTTGTCGGAGATCTCATTCTTGGGGTATATTGTCACGGTCGACGGACTAAAACCGGATCCGAGGAAGGTGGCAGCAGTTCAAGACGCCCCGGCGCCGGTCACACTTACCCAGGTTCGGGCTTTTCTAGGGCTGGCATCCTATTACCGACGCTTCATCAAGGGGTTCGCCGGCATAGCGAAGCCCCTCATGAACCTGCTGAAGAAAGAGGAACAGCTGATCTGGACGCCAGAATGCGAAGCGGCGTTGAAGGAGGCTCTGACATCTGCTCTTGTGTTGGCGCGCCCCGACCCGACAAGACCATTCGCATTGTACACAGACTGGCAGCCTCAGGCGATATCGGCGATGCTGACTCAGCACGACAAGGACGGAAGGAAGCACGTCATTGAGTATGCGTCCAAGACGCTGAGCCAGGCGCAGGCTAATTACGAAGCGTGCAAAGGTGAATGCCTGGCGGTGGTGTGGGGGATTCAGCATTTCCGACCGTATCTGTACGGCCAGAAATTCGTGATGGTTACAGATCATCAGCCGCTGTTGTCCCTACGCAACAACATGGACTACACGGGGACGCTGGGCAGGTGGGCGGTGCGTCTGCAAGACTATGACTTCGACATCCGCCACCGTGCCACGCGGCAGCATGGTAACGCTGATGGATTAACGCGCCTTCTGCCGCCCAACAAGTGTCCCGCCAACGAGCGACTCATTCCGTGGAGGCCAGAAGTCGCGGCGACGAAACCGCACTACGGGGAGCTACACGTGCTAAGTAAGGACGACGCCTGAGTCCAGAATGGAGGTTTCATCGGAGATGGCCGACGCTATCTCTCTGCCCTTATCCCACCCCCTCGCTCTCTCGTCTAGCCCCAACTCGTCCTCTGAAACACACCTAAGTCCCTGTTTCTTCTGTACCTTGCCTATGATCCCGGACCAAGAAGGGTCACATCCGGGAGGGCCCAATTTTCTTTTATGGGTACAGTGTAGTCAGTGTCATACGGTCAAATCTCACGGACAGTGCGTTAGGTACCGAAGTGAAAAGACGTGGGTCTGTCCCAACTGTAGAACGGACCAAGTCCCTACTGAGAAGCGGTATCTGGACGCTAGAACAACCGACGGATTTGCGCCAAGTGCCCGCCGAGCAGAGGCCTGGACGGACCTTCTGTTGCTACGGAGACTGTCAGGCGATTCGTTGTCAGAACTTACCAAAGCCGAACGACGGAGAGTCACGGAGCGGGCGCAGGACTATCGCTGGCAGGGCCCGACGTTACAAAAACGGAAGGTCGATGACGACGGAGAGTCTAGCTGGTTGACGGTTTCACACCCTCTTGCTAGGTTCGATTGGACATGAGCCGCTCATGAGGAGGATGCGGTCCATTTCGCGGTCAAGTACACAGAAAAAGCCATCGAAAAGAATGGATGGTACTGGTCGGGAATTCGGGAAGATGTGAAATACATCGTTCAGAATTGCCCGGCCTGCGAGGCGGACAAGGCGCCGGTACAGATGCCTCGGACGATGGTGCCCACTCGTGTAGAGCGCCCCTTTTAGAGGGTTAGCATCGATACGACGGATATCAACATTCCGAGAGGGCCCTTCGATCAAGGAGAACTCAATGTTCTTTTAGTGGCCGTCGATCATTTTTCAAAATGGATCGAGGCGTACCCTATGACCAGCCGGAATTTGCAGGAAGTAGGCTGGTACATAAATCGATTTTTGTGCATGCATCTAGACGTAGAAGAGGTACACATGGACAATGGGTCAGAATTTCAAGGCGAAGTAGAACGCCACCTAGTCAGGGCGGACGTTAAGATTATCTACTCGCCGGGGCATTGGCCTCAAGCCAATGGCCTGGTAGAGAATGCCAACCGACTGATTAAGACGGCCCTTAGACGGAATATCACTGCGGGAGACACCCGACCCTGGCCGGTCATTGTCGATCACATTTTGGCCGTTTATCGGGCTACCCCACACGGTAGTACTGGGGTGTCCCCCTTTCAACTGAGAACCAATAGTGTCCCTCGGGTGCAATTGTCTCCCTTAGTAGGTACGGAAGTTAGAGCAACACGGGCCCAGAATCGAGAGAAGGCCCGCCACTACATGGACTTAATGGCTAGGGCCTATCCCCCGTTAGCTCGCCATCGACAGCAGGCCGTAGATCGGATACATCAACGACAGATCCGTGACTACGAGAATCGACACGCGTTGGCGGGATCACTGCCTCGCTATAAAATAGGGGACTTGGTGCAGGTACGGAAATCCGCGCGCTCCTCCAAAGTCCACCCACGCTACACAGGCATTTACGAAGTGACGAAAGTTGGCGCACGAGGCCAGCACTCCGTGAAGCTGGTCCCCAGGCACAACTCACAGGGCCGCCCGCTGACGAGGCATGCTGCTGCCCTCCGGCCATTCCGGCCATCGCTAGATCTCGTGCGGCCACCTGTCCTGCCCGAATAACCTTCTTCGTCCCCCTCTCGTGCTCCTTCGTCCTCGCCTCCTTCTTCCCCTTCTCTCCGATCGGCGTCGTCGGCACCCGCGGAAGACCTTACCTCGCAGGATGAACCATCGCCAACAGGAGCATGAACTGCTTGAGCACTTCCAGCCGCCCATCTCGGACGCTCTTCTCCGGAACCGGTTCAACGACGATCGGCAGCTGCGCTCCGACATTCAGCAGGTGAACGTGCCGGCACCCAGCGTTGCCGACTTGGCGGTGTACTCGCTCCTCGCGCAGCGGGTGACGTACGCGGGTGTCTATGTGGACATATCGCCCGTGCCTGGCCACGAATCCACGCGAGTGTTCATCGAGTTCCGAGCCATCCAGGTGGCAACGAACTTTGTGCACAGCGTCGCTACTCTCACCGGGGATTTGACCGTCTTGCCCGGGCATGATCGGGAGTCGACGTATAGATTCTTGCACGATTACGCCCTTCAGGTGGCGACATCGGTGGCGCAAGTGCAGGCTCGGGGCACTCATCGCTTCTTTGCATACGAAAGACTTCTGCGGCAGACTCCGGAGGGAGCACTTGCATTGGTGCCGCAGCTTCCCGCGCTCCTTCCTCCCGCCGAGCCCCTCAACATCCAAGTTGTCCCTCCCCCTTCTCTCTAAATGCCTCCCTTCTTCTCTTACACTACCCTCCCTTATCAACTGACGCAGCTCCCCTATCCTATGCGCAACTTTTCCGAGTACCTAGTGGAGCTGACGGACGTGGAGCAGTTGCCGCCCGCCGACGAGGACACGTGGGAGATGCATCGGGCGCTGTATTCATCGGTGGTGCTAGGCATGTTCACATTCTTCGTGGAGCACGAAGTTCATAACGTCGGCGAATTCCTCCAAGTGTACTACGTGATCGCCAAGCCGAAGCCGGAGCGGAAGGAGGGAACAGTGGCGCTTTATCCTTTTGGGAGGGTCAGAACGAATCGCCCGGGGCTCTTACAGCTCATTCACATCGAGCTGCTGTCCATTGCGCAGGTAATCGCCACGGAAGAAGAAGACTTGCAGCTCAGACTACGGACCGCCTCAGCTTCGTGCAGATCGTATAACACGGCGGTGATACCTGACTATCTGGCGCGTGAAGGGGAGTCCGTGGTGGCAGAAGTCCATCGCCGGAAGCTCAGGCCAGTCGAGTGGGGCCTGTCGAGGAGGTCGTCCAGCCTGCGCCGGTGCGCGAAGTCGATCCGGTTCACGAGAGAAGAGCCACACTCGTCATCGGGCCCCGACTGGGGAAGGACCACCCCGCCGAAGAGCCGCGGAGATCCACAGGCCATCCGGAGTCGACACCTCAGCGGCCCCGCCTCCTCGATCTCAACAGCCATGCAGCCGGGCCATCAAGCGCAGGGGGGGGATTGGGACGAGTTCCATATCCCGCATCCAGACGCCCCCTCCTTGCAGGACCGTTCCAATTTCGCCAACCCGCCCGGGATACCTCGGTCATTGACATTAGCAGTTCCCCCGAGCCGGACGGTCCATCAAACTGACGTGGATCACATGGTGGAACTGGCCACCCTCCGGCTTGAGGCCATCGAGGGGGCGCCACGTCCCGATCCGGCATGGGAGGCGTTCTTGCAGCCTCCATTCGATGGATGTATAGCGGCGAGGTTGGTGGGTACACTCATCTACAAGACCGGCGGCCGACCCAATATTATGTACCATATCCTGGTCTTCGTGGCGGTTAAGCGGGAGCGGAGGCCGTACACGGAGACCCATCTAGTGCTAACGGGTCCGCGAAATCGGCCGCTACGACCACGAATCATTCGAGTGATCGTCGATCGCGCGCCACAGGTCCTCTCGCATGTGCCGGGGGCTTTCCTTTACCCCTCCTTTGTCCAACACCACTTCAATGAAGTGGAAGTGCCGGCCAACTTGGTCGCGCTCGCGGCGTTTCTTCCTCCTCTTCCTCCCCCTCTCAATCCGGAGATTGATTACTTCCTATGATCATCTCCACCACCGCCTCTTTCTTTTTCTTCTTCTTTTCCGGATCTAAAGCTCGCGCGATGATATGCGCTGTGTATATCTCAAAAAAAAAAAAATTAAAAAAAAAAAAATATATATATATATATATATATATATATATATATATATTCGTTTTACTTACCGATCGGGCGAGCTGACGATGAAGGGGCCGCCCGACCGAATCTATACTATGGGAGGAGGCGATGGAGGATGCAGGATGCATCCACGTAGATTAGGAAGATGATCGGGCCAGTTGACGATGAAGAGGCCGCCCGATCATCCAAGACATGATGACATCACCAGTCGGGAGACTGCTAATTTTTCGGAACCCCCTGCGTATCACAGATGTGATAAGCTCAGATCCGTACCGTGCGGCTTGCCGTATCCCTAGGGAAAAATCCCACGGAAGCCCCGAAGTACGGGCGCGGATAGGAAGGGGTTTTCTTTCTTTTTGCTTTTGTTTTCTTTTTGAAACGGCTTTTTCATTTTGTTTGGTTAATAACTCCCGCGGGCGAATAGAGACCGCTGTATGAAAACCAAGAAATGAGTGCGGTTGGGACTTTTTGAATTTTTGCGCGCGCGCCCAAGCTCCGATTTCTTCGCGCGTCTCGCATCCCCGTTTCTTGCTGCGCGCGTTTTCCGTATGCAGGACTCTTCGTCTTCCCCTACGCCCAGCTTGATCCTTACCCCGTCTTCCTCCGCGAAGTGATTGGCTGCGTAGTTGGGATGCTCGGATCAATGTGGAAAGCGGGAAACCGCGCACCACTTGGACGAACACCCCAATCACGTAGCCATGCAATCCCGCGGGTCGAACCCTCTAACTCCCCACCTCTCTCTCTCTTGTCYTGCTCATCTACACCCTGCGCTGCCCGCACCTCGCGCTGTTAACCCGCCGCCTCCCGCGCTATAAATTTGCGCAACCCTCTCCTCTCCTCCTCTTTGATCTCGGCTGCAATGCTGAGCGAGCTATGCGCGAGAGTCCGCGGCGCCGAACAGGCTCGACGAGCCCAAGGACGGGCAAAGTGACGACGTGGGGTGGACCCCGCGGTAGTCCCGGGGCGAAGCAGTCGGAGGGACTGAGAAGTGGTGGGGATTGGACGCCGGCCGCGGCAGGGCCTTGTGGCTATGGTGGTCGGTGGTCTTGGGAAGTTTTGAAGGCTGCGCTTGGGGGCAGCAGTTAATTGAAATTTTTGTGTACAAGAAGGACTCGCTTTTATCTCCATTGCTGCTTTGTCTATGCATGTCGTGTGTGTGAAGCCCCGAGTGATGGGAGCTGGTTATGCGCATGAGTGACGTCGAAGGTCCATGGATGATTAGATGTCCTATCAAGGGTTGTTGATTGCATCCATGTATGTGTGTATGTACTCGTCCGGGCGGGGATGGGGAAACTGAACTGGGGGACTGTCTGCTTAAGAGTATGAGTGTGTTGATCCGATTGTTCCCCTCCCCTCCGCGGCCTTTCCTGCGCTCTCGCGCGGTCGTGGCATCGCCTCTCTCTCTCTCTCTCTCTCTCTCTCTCTCTCTCTCTCTCTCTCTCTCTCTCTCTCTCTCTCTCTCTCCCTTTTCGATCGCCTTCCTTTTGAACTAACAGTCATCGCCTTTAGAGCCTCTCGTCCCCGTACCGGTGACGTCAACCGCCTGCGTCCGCGCGGACGGTCGAMGCCCCCGCCAAGGGGAGAAAGCTTAGATTTCGTCATCCTCCCCCTACGCACCCACTTTTGAGAGAGAAGCGTTGCGACGATTGTTGTATGGATTCGGTGTTGGTTCGGATGACCGGGAACGCGCGATCTTGCCCGTGTTCATCACGTACCTCCAATCGTCTTATTTCGCTACCGACCTTCCCCATCACAGATGACGACAGCGTCTACTGCGATGCGGACGTACGGCGCGCGYTGAGGCGGACGGAGCAAGTGTGTTGGCAAGACCCGCCTCGGGCTTGTGAGATAAGGGGGAACGGGTTTGTGTTGATTGATCGATTTGATTCCCCGACTCTAATATTGCCTTATACGGGTTTAACGGTGTTGCCCTGGTTGGCCGCTCACGCCGCGTGGCGACCGCAGTTTGATTGTCGCTGGTGTCGCCAGGGGGACTCGTGTTCGTGGCGACGGCTGGTCCTGGGTTACGAGGGAGCGACACATTTCCCCGAGCTTTCCCGTAGTGGGGGGGCGCTGCCCGCGCAATTTCGAATTCAGATGCCGGCGAGTCCTCCCGCCGCTTTACCCTCCCGTAAACTTTCGCGCGGGCTCTATGAGTCTGACACCGAGGCTTGAAGGCCTCGAACCAACCACCTCTACAGCAAAAGACCCGAGGGTTCGGCCACTTCGTGAGGCCGATGACGAGGCCTGAAGGCTTCGAACCCACCACCTATCCCCGGAACCCATGACGGCCGGAATTTTTGTCGTCTGCCGCCATGGCCTCCTCCCCTTGATGCCTATTCCCGCCCCGATGCACGGCGGCAATTCATTTTCACAGAAACCCTTCTGATTTTATCGTTTCGGAGTAATTCGAGCCCCGCGGGACTTCGCGACGACAGTTCGACTCCGAGAAAAACCTCGGCCAAGAAACGAGAGCCTCCCGTTCCGTCCGGGAGACTCAACCCTTACGGCCAAAAATCCTCGGCCACGCCCCTCCTAGAACTCTGATCGGCGACCCCGTACGGGAAGCCGCGAGGGGGCGTGAGGTGCGTATCACAGGGTTGCCTGTGAACTGCACCACACCTTGCAGGTCCCCGATGCCAGCGGCCGGCAGTTCACCTCCCTACCCTGCTTACTATAAGTTGGCTTGCTCTCACTTGCCTATGAGTGTATTACTGGGGGGTAGGTAAGTTGGCAAAATAATTCTACGCTTTTGATGGGAATTTAATCCCCTCATACGAGGGAATCAATGCTACTCATCATTAAATGCCTGCGCTTATACTACAACCACATGTCTGTTCAAAACAAAGGATGAGAATGTATCAAAGGGACGCTGGACCCGCTTTCCAGCAGGTGTTGCTCCCCAGAGTCCCCACCAATAGATGGACACTTACTTTTTCCAAAAAAAAAAAAAAAAAGACAAAAGGAGTCAGGCAGGGTCGTTAAACCACCAGTAAGTTGCCCAGCTAAAAAAATCCGATGCGGCCGATAACGCTCCGTGTAGGGCGGGGTACCTAACGCCGAACGACCAGTATTCCAAGAAAAACGGGAAAAAAAAAAGAAGAATGGGTGCGACTGCGGCGGGAAGAACGAGAAAGAAAGAAAGAAAGAAACACACACACACACACACACACACACACACACAGAGAGAGAGAGAGAGAGAGAGGGAGAGAGAGAGAGAGAGAGAGAGAGAGGACGTTGCCACACCACTCTCGAAATGTGAAAAAGACAAAAATGTGGTGGGTGCATCTGCCCATGTTCCAGCGGCAAGTTCATTCTCATTGTGCACATTTTGAGAGTTCATTCTCATTGTGCACATTTTGAGAGTGGTGGGGCGCGATGCACAGTGTCTGGCGCCGAGTTTGGCAAGCGTTTCCACTCAGTTTGGTTTTGCCCGTTCCTCCCGGTTCGGCCATCCTGAAGGGGTAGTGGGGGGCCATCCCTCGGTTAGCGCATAGCATGTGGTTTACGTCTCTTTTCCCATGACCGGGGCGCCGGGGCCTAAGATTTCCGCCTGGGAAGCTTCCACCAGGCTGTGGGGTCCACCTCTCATTCTTTTTTTTCTTTTTCTTTTTTTTTTTTCTTTTTTTTCTTTTCATTGGTGTGATCAGAACTGTCTATTTTCTTCTCTCAACTTCTGTTTGTTTACCTTCCACTACCTACTCCTAGGACTATCTAGAGGGGACCGGCATGTCTGATTTCCTTTTTTTTTTGCAGAATGTTGTCTGTTTTTTTGGTTTTTCCATGATGTACTACCTGCTCGGCAATAAAGTCCGAGGCTCAAGGCTCGGCAATGATAGGGCTACCGGTCGCCCCAGCCGCAGACTTGAAAGCTGGGCGCCCTGATCATTGCTGAGCCTCGGACTTTATTGTCGAGCCTTGATGCACCTGTCGTACATCATGGAAATGATGGAAAAAACAAAAAAAGAAAAAAACACAAAGAAACAAACAACATTCTGCAAAAAAAAAAAACAAGGAGATCAGACATGCGCAATGAGAATGAATCTTCCACGACAACGCGAAAGATTCTTTCTCATTGGAATGATATGCGTGTGTGTGTGTGTGTGTGTGTGTGTGTGTGTGTGTGTGTGTGTGTGTGTGTG